ATTCTTCTCTGGTCTTCCTTATTCATTGTCCAGCTTTCACATGCATATGAGGTGATTGAAAGTACCATGGCTTAGGTCAGGGGCACCTTAGTCCTCAAAGTGACATCTTCGCTTTTTAGCACTTTAAAGAGGTCTTTTGCAGCAGATTTGCCCAAGGCAACATACCACTTGACTTCTTGACTGCTGTTTCCACGCGTATTGATTGCGGATGCAAGTAAAATGAAATCCTGGACAATGTCAATATTCTCTCTCTTCATCATGATGTTGCTTATTGGTCCAGTTGTGAGGATTTTTGTTTTCTTTATGTAATTTTTGTTTTCTTTAGTGTAATCGATACCGAACGCTGTAGTCTTTGATTTTCATCAGTAAGTACCTCAAGTCCTCTGCACTTTCAGCAAGCGAGGTTGTGTCATCTGCATATCTCAGGTTGTTAATGAGTGTTCCTCCAATCCTAATGCCATGTTCATATAGTCCGGCTTCTCATGTATTTGCTCAGCATATAGACTGAATAAGGGTGGTGGAAGGATACAACCCTGATGCACACCTTTCCTGATTTTAAACCACACAGTATCCCCTTGTTCTGTTCGATCTACTGTCTCTTGGTCTATGTACAGGTTCCTCATGAGCACAATTAGGTGTTCTGGAATTCCCATTCTTCACAATGTTATCCATAATTTGCTATGATCCACACAGTTGAATGCTTTTGCATAGTCAATAAAACACAGGTAAACATCTTTCTGGTATTCTCTGGTTTTAGCCAAGATCCATCTGACATCAGCATCCCTTGTTCCATGTTCTCTTCTGAATCCCCCTTGAATTTCTGGTAGTTCCCTGTCAATGTACTGCTGCAACTGCTTTTGAATTATCTTCAGCAAAATTTTACTTGCATGTGATATTAATGATATTGCTTGATAATTTCAGCGTTCTGTTGGATCACCTTTCTTTGGAATGGGCACAAACATGGATCTCTTCCAGTTGGTTGATCTCTTCCAAATTTCTTGGAATAGATGAGTGAGCACTTCTAGTGCTGCATCCATTTGTTGAAACATCTCAGTGGATCTTCCATCAATTCCTGGAGCCTTATTTTCACCAATGCCTTCAGCGTAGCTTGGACCTCTTCCTTCAGTACCATTGGTTCTTGATCATATGCTACCCCTGAAATGGTTGCATGTTAACCAATTCTTTTTGGTACAGTGACTCTGTGTATTCCCACCATCTTCTTTTGATGCTTCCTGCATCATTCAATATTTTGCCATAAAATCCTTCAACATTGCAACTCAAAGCTTGAATTTTTTTTCTTCAGTTCTTTCAGCTTGAGGAATGCTAAGCATGCTTTTCTCTTTTGGTTTTCTAACTCCAGGTCTTAGCACATTCTTTTTTTTTTTTTTTATTTTCTATTTTTGTTTATTGTTGTAGTTTAAGTGAAAGTTTACATTTCAAGTTAGTCTCTTATACAAAAATTTTTGCATACTTTGTTATGTGACCCTAATTGCTCTCCCTATACTGTGACAGCACACTCCTTTCCACCCCTGATTCCCCGTGTCCATTCAACCAGCTCCTAACCCTCTCCGCTTTCTCATCTCACCTCTGGACAGAAGCTGCCCATTTAGTTGCACGTATCTACTTGAGCTAAGAAGCACACTCTTCACGAGCATCATTTTATGTCCCACAGTCCAGTCCAATCTTTGTCTGAAGAGTTGGTCTTGGAAATTGTTTTAGTTCTCAGCTGACAGAGAGTCCAGGAGCCATGCTTTCTGGGGTTCCTCCAGTCTTAGTCAGACCATTAAGTCTGATCTGTTTACTAAAATTTGAGTTCTGCACCCCACCCTTCCCCTGCTCCATCAGGGACCTTCCGTTGTGTTCCCTGTCAGGGCGGTCATTGGTGGTAGCTGGGCACCACCTAGTTGTTCTGGTCTCAGGCTGATGAAGTCTCTGGTTTATGTGGCCCTTTCTGTCTCTTAGGCTAATACTTTCCTTGTGTCTTTGGTGTTCATTCTCCTTTACTCCAGGTGGTTGGGACCAATGGATGCATCTTAGATGACCGCTCGCAAGCTTTTAAGACCCCAGATGCCACTCACCAAAATCGGATGCAGAACATTTTCTTAATAAACTTTGTTATGCCAATTGACCTGGTTGTCCCCTGAAATCATGGTCCCCAGATCCCCACCCCTGCTACTCTGTCTCTTGAAGTGTTTGATTGTATTCAGGAAACTTCTTACCTTTGGTTTAGTCCAGTTTGCACATTTCTTTATAATAGTTTGTTTTATCTTATCAAGCTGCCCTTTGATCTCTTCTGCTCAGCTCTTTACTTCATTATTTTTTTCACTCTCTTTAGCTGCTCTATGTTCAAGAGCAAGTTTCAGATAGTATATATCTATATATACATATATATATAAAACACACACACACACGTGTGTGTGTATATATATATATCCTTTGCTCATCTGTCAGTTTGTCGTACTGTGGTGGCTTGCATGTTGCTGTGATGCTGGAAGCTATGCCACTAGTATTTCAAATACCAGCAGGGTCACCCATGGTGGACAGGTTTCAGTGGTGCTTTCAGACTAAGACTTTCGGTACTTCGAGGGGACTGGGTCTTGCCCACCATTATGGCTCCAGCCCAAGGCCGGGCACACAGTAGGTGCTCTGTAAACCAGTTGTCAGGGTATCTGTGTTGTTACTAGGTCAGAGGGCACATGGTACAGAATTAACAGTTTTTAGGATGAAATCCAGAGCCAGTTCCTGGCTCTGGGACAAATTCTTTTGCAGCTAGTTTACAGTTGGATGGGTGTCTCCAAGGGCCTTTGGCGATTCTTATGGTCTCTGAAACATGGCGTGGAGGAAGCCCCTGAAAATCAGATCATGAAAAGACCATCGTGCTGGGAAAAGTTGTTGTTGTTACTGGCTGTCTAGTGGGCTTTGCCTCACAGCAACTCCATGAACAACAGAATGAAAGGCTGCCTGGTTCTGAGTCATTCCCATGATTGGTTTCAGATCAGCCCATTTTGATCCATAGAGTTTTCCTTGGCTGATTTTCGGACGCTGATTGCCAGGCCTTTCTTCCTAGTCTGTCTTAGTCTGGAAGCGCTGCTGAAACCTATTCAGCATCCTGGCAACACACAAGCCGCCACTGACACAAGAGGTGCATTGGCCGGGAATTGAATCTGGGTCTCCTGCACGGAAAGTGAGAAGTCTCCCACTGAATCACCACTGTTTCCTAGCTCTTGACAAGCAAACTCAATAAAATGGGCCCTTAAATGATCATTTCTCTCAGAGCAAGAAGCTAAAGTTTGCAGGCGGGGTTGGGGAAGAGGAGAGCATACTGTAGCTTCGGATAGCTATTTTTCCACTCAGAGGGAGGCCAGGGGCTGGAGGATGGACAGACCAGCTGCCGGGTCAGGTGGTGGCCGTCTGGAAATACTCCTTGCAGGGGCTTTCCTCTGCCCTTTCCCGTCTGCCTGTCACTGCTGCCAGGATCAGCCCTTCTGGCAGACGGCCCAGCCAGGCCCTGTGTATGAGTGACCGCCCGCACATTAGCCCCAGGGCGTTGCAGTTTCAGATTCCAGAGAAAGCTGGCTCCAAGCCCTGCTGAGTCAACCCCATTCTTCTTGTGTGGGCCAAACTGCCCCAGGCCTTCCTGGCTGGCGGAGTTTCTGTGCCAGTCTTCCCTTCCTGACGTGATATCAGAGTTGGGGGGGGGTGGTTCAGGGAAATGTTGAATGAATGCATGGCCTTGGGAAATGAACATGGCCCAACCTCTCAGTCAGTTCTTCCTTTGCCCCTACCCCAGGCTCAGCGTGTTGGGGTCTCTCCACCAAGGTCCCTGGGTGGCGCAAATTGTTTACCGTCGGCTACTAACCTAAAGGTTGCCGGTTCAAACCCACCCAGCGGTGCTGCGGAAGAAAGGCCTGTCAATCTGCTTCCCGTAAAGATTACAGCCAAGAACACTCTATGGAGTGCAGTTCTACTCTGTAACATATGGGGTCGTCATGAGTCGGAAGGACTAGACGACAACAGATTCGGTTTTTTGGTTTGGAACGCCGGCACAGGGCCTGGGCGGAGAGAGCAGTAGGCCTATTTCCTGAATGAATGAATGAATGATTGAGGAGGGAGGCCTGCCTTCCATGGGTCTCCTCTTTCTGTTCCTGCTGTCACACAGGCAAAGACACAAACACTGAAGACCTAGGGTTCGGGGTGACTAGTGGGTGCGAGGCCCTGGCTAGGACACTCACAGTTGGGGGCCTGGGGAGCAGGAAGCCGATTAAGGATCTCACAAACATCTGCAATGAAGGTGCGTGGGAGTCCTCAGACGTCTCTCTGGGGGTCCAACCTGGCAGTTCCGGGAAGCCACGCCTGAGGCGCGGATGTTCGAGACATCCGGGCTCCCCTCCCCGTCTGGCTGGGGTTTCCCGGCTAGACTCAGCGCACCAAGGAAAGTTCTGATTCGTCGCTCTCACTGCCTCCTTTACCTCAGCTTCTGACTTGGGGAGGGGTCAGGAATGCCCCTACTCGCTCCATCCCGAGTAAGGACGCAAGCACCCTTTGTCCCACCAAGCGCGACACCGGTGATGTGGCGGGCTCGGATTCCGGCGCTGGAAGGAGGGGACGTGGGGGCAGGGAGAGTCACGTCTCTCATGTCCGCAGGGGAGGGTCAGGTGAAGGGAGCCAGAATTTTGCACCCCTCCCCCCGGCGCCCCCTCCTCATAACTACCCCCCTGCAGCGTATAAGGACCCCACCCCCGCCGCACGCCTCGCTCCGGCACTTCCAGTGCCCCGCCTTCGAGGCTCCCCGCCCCGCCCCTGCACGAGGCTATAAAAGGGGGCACTGGGCACCGCGTAGACATTTTGAGCCTAGCGGACCTGCGGGTACGGCCTGAGCTCTCCGAGTGGCGTCTGCACCCGAGCGCGGCTTCGCCAGTGCCCCCGTGACTCCTGCTCTCCTTCTCGAGCCCCACGCCCGCCTTGTGCCGCGCACCCTCGCGTCCTCGCGCCAGGCCCCCAGGCTGTCTTGGAAGATGCGCTGCGCGCCTTCGGCCGGCGCAGCCCTGGTGCTGTGCGCCGCCACGGCCGGGCTGCTGAGCGCGCAGGGCCGCCCCACGCCTCCCGAGCCGCCCGAGCCTCCGCGCTTCGCGTCCTGGGACGAGGTGAACGTGCTGGCGCACGGGCTACTGCAGCTCGGCCACGGGCTGCGCGAGCACGTGGAGCGCACCCGCGGGCAGCTGGGCGCTCTCGAGCGGCGCCTGGGCGCGTGCGGGGCCGCTTGCGGGCAAGCCGCGGGGACCAACGCGTCCTCGCACGCTCCCGCCAGGCCGGTCCCCGGCGACGAAGCCGCGCCCGAGACCCTACGCAGCCTGCAGGTACGTGTGTTCCGACAGGCCTGGAAGGGTATGGACGGGAGGGGGCGCATCCCGGTACTCTGGGCCCCCCTGTCCCCAGCCCCAAAGGATGGAGAGATGGAAGGACGGACGGGTGGATGAATGGTGAGGCACGGGGCTCCTCCTCACCGGGGTTTTCTCTGCCCTCCCCAGATGCAGCTCAAAGCTCAGAACAGCAGGATCGAGCACCTATTCCAGAAGGTGGCCCAACAGCAGCGGCACTTGGAGAAACAGCGCCTGAGGATCGAGAATCTGCAGAGCCAGGTGCCTGAGCCTGTCCCAGGCGGGGAGGGAGGTCCCAGGCAGGGAGGGGCGTCCAGGCTGGGCTTGTAGATGCAGGTGTGTGGAGTTGGGCAGGTCTCGCAGCCTGAACGAGCCAGACCTGACACCGTCACTCTGCCCTGCCCCAGGTGGGCCTCCTGGCCCCTACACACCTGGACCATGAGGTGGCCAAGACTGGCAGGAGGAAGAGGCTCCCCAAGATGGCCCCGCAGGTGGGCCCTGCTCACAACACCAGCCGTCTGCACAGTGAGTGCCTGGCCCTTTGCTGAGCTTTGGCACACTCTCCTCCACTTGCCATCCCTGTCCCCCTCTTTGTCAGGTCCACTTACAGATAAGGCCCTGGCCCTGAGTCCCTGTGAGCTTACCAGTCTCCAGAGAAGGGCTGAAAGGGCACCTCCCACTTCTCAGCCCTGAACTTGTCCAGCTGGGCCACCACATCCTTCTTCCCAGCAAGCCCTGAGCTTTTTCCAAGACTTGCTAGCCACTAACTGGAGCAGGAGTTGGGAAGGAGGGACCATGGGGGACCTGAGCTGCAGGGGTAGGGCAGGGGATCAGCTCGAGTTACCTACTGGAGGATAGAACCCTCTGGAAGGGTGTAATGGTGGACAAGAGGGTCCCTGGTAGGGAGCTTGGAGTCCTCACTGGATGAGGCAAGACTGGCTACCTAGGAGGGGTGTTTTGAGGTTTGGGTTCCCCAGGATCTCTGTGGGGTGTGGATGTAGGGGGAGCCAGGGCAGGGAACCCACCTCCCCAGCCAGACACACTCAATTTTGCATCTCCTACAAATCTGGGGCCCCGACCCACACACTGGTCCCTCACTCTTCTCCAGACCTGAAAGACCCCCCCCCCAGAATCCCACCCACACCTCCTTGCAGGGAGTCAGGTCCTGGGAGAGTGGCGTTTGTCACCATCTCAAGCCCTAGGTCCTGTATTGTGCATGCTCCAAATCTCCGCAAATCTCAAATCGCAGGCCCTTGTGCCTGTGTGTGATCTGTGTGTGTCTGACGCTGCTCGTGTCTCTGCCCTACCCTGAGTTCACAGTCGCAGACCCCGTCGCAGTCACCTATCTGGGCAGATGCACCTCTCTGAAACCAACTGGGTGGAAGTTCTAATCCCCTCTTCACACCTTTGGGCCGGGTGATGGCTTCCAGCCTTCTAATCTCCAGGGCTCTCCCACCGGAGACTATCTCCCCTTCGCCCCGTCCCTGTCGGCCCTGCCCCCCCAAGGCCAGCTGCCCAGCGTGTTGAGAGTCAAGTACACCTTTCCCAAACTAGGCTTTGGGAGGAGGGACTTCAGGGAAAGCAGGCCCCGGTCCTGGTCCTGGCTGGGGCACGTGCTGGTGGAAGGAGTCGAGTCGTGGAGGGAGTCGGGGAACACGTGGGTTCAGGGAGTCTCCGACTCCAGGCTCCGCCCCGCCAAGTAGGGGAAAGTTCAACACTTGGAGACAAACAGCTGGCACTAATAAAGGCCACATTCGCAGTTTGGCTGCGGGCCTGTCTTGATTGGAAGAGAGAGAAATAGGGGAAAGGGGAGCTGCCTAAGGGACCGGAAGGTGTCCTCCGGCCGCTTGGGGCCGCCCACCACCCCCGCAGCCCAGACACCCTCGCTAGTGTCCTCGGCCTGCCCCTCCCCCAGCGACCTTTCCTCTACTTCTCTACTCCCCCCCCCTCCCCCCTCCCCCCCCCCCGCCTGGGCTGGAGGTGGGGACTTGCCCATCCTCTCTTGGTGTCTGACGTCCTCCTTCCCTCCTCCCTCCTTTTCTCTTCGGTACTCCCCCTCTTCCGCCAGTAGCTGGGACACCCCAGCAGGGGCCTCTGCCCCCTCCCCCAGTCCTCTCTAGGCGCCATCTGCATCCCCTACTCAAAGGAAACCAGATCCCCTGCCCGAGGCTCAGCTCTCTCAATCATTCATTCATCATTCATGCATTCATTCATCAGCCATTCAACCGTTCATCCATCCAGTCTTTATTGAACACCTCTTGTGGGCTAATGGAGTCCCTGGGTGGCACAAATGGTTAACTTGGTAATTCAGACACACCCAGAGGAACTTCAGAAGAGAGGCCTGGTGATCTGTTTCTGAAAGGTCACAGCCTTGAAAACTCTGTGGATCACAGTTGTACCTTGCACACATGGGGTCGCCATGAGTCAGAATTGACTCAGTGGCAGCTGATTTGGGTTTTCATTGGTTACTGTGGGCCAGGGTCAGTGGGTGCTGGTGCCAGGGTGTAGGCCAAGAGCCAGTCCTCATCCTCACAGAGTCCCCGTGCAGTGGGAGGGGGAACCATTAGAGGACCCCAGTGTTGGGGTGTAGGAGGCCTACTCTACCCATTTTGGGAGGTCTGGCCTGGTCTGGGTGGCACAGTGGTTAAGCGCTGGACTATTAACTGAAAGGTTGGTGATTCAAACCTGTCCAGAGGTGCCTCAGAAAAAGGGCCTCATGAGAAACTATCTGTTTTGTAAGCCTTCACCTGAAGTACAATAAAATATTTAAAAAAAAAAAGAAAAGAAAAAGGGCCTGGCAGTCTGCTGCCGAAAGGTCACAGCCTTGAGAACACTGTGGAGCGCAGTTGTACTCTGACACACAGTGGGGTCACCGAGAGTCGGAACTGGCTCAACGGCAACTGGTTTTGGCTGGTCAGGGAGGGTGAGGCAGGGAGAGAGATGTGAGGGAAGAGGGCCCCTCTCCTCTGCAGAGGGACCAGCATGTGCAAAGTCCCCGTTGCACGGAGGGTTCGTGGTACAAGGAAGACAGTGGGAGGTGGGGAAGGAGGCTTGTGTGGCTTGAGGGGTACTGAAAAAAGCCATGGGGAGTCATGGAAGAGTCTAGGTGGAAGGAGAGTGAGATTAGAATTGCCCCTGCTCTGCCTTTCACTGACTTCCCCACCCTCAGATACTCCTAAGACCCTGAGGGGCTGCACTCCTGCTTCACCCCAGCCTCCTTGCCCATCTATCCGCAGGGCTGCCCCGGGACTGCCAGGAGCTGTTTGAGGAGGGCGAGCGGCGGAGTGGACTGTTCCAGATCCAGCCACGGGGGTCCCCACCGTTCCTGGTCAATTGCGAGATGACTTCAGGTGAGAGGCAGGCTACCAGGGCACCCTCTGGGCACAAGCTTGCGTGTCATGGGCCCTCTTGCCCTGTAAAACGCTTCCCTTCCCCCAGCAGCTCCCATTACAAGCTCAGAGCCAGGTTCCCCTGGTGAGCAGCCCTTCCTGAGACCTGCAGCCCATCCTGGGGGTCTCCGCAGACTTCCGCTGCCCCTCCCTGCCTCCTTCCTTGCTTGCTGGGTCCTTGGGCCTCAGGTCTCGGCCACGGGAGCCCCTCTGTCTGCTGGTCACCCTGCAGGGTCTTCTCAGACTCTCCTTCCTCCAGTTCCCTGGGATGTTTGAGGGGAGCCTTGCCCTCTGTCATGGTTTGAATTATGTCCCCCAAAAAATGTGTGTGTCAATTTGGCTGGGTCATGATTCCCAGAATAGTGTGGTTGTCCTCCATTTTGTGATTGTAATTTTATGTTAAAGAGGATTAGAGTGGAATTGTAACATAACCCCCCTACTCAGGTCACATCGCTGATCCGATGTAAAGGGAGTTTCCCTGGGGTGTGGCCTGCACCTCCTTTTATCTCTTATAAGAGATAAAAGGAAAGGGAAGCAAGCAGAGAGTTGGGGACCTCATACCATCAAGAAAGCAGTGCCGTGAGCAGAGTGTGTCCTTTGGACCGGGGTCCCTGCGCCGAGAAGCTCCTAGTCCGGGGGAACACTGAAGAGAAGAAGGCCAACAGAGAGAAAAAGCCTTCCCCCGGAGCTGACGCCCTGAATTTGGACTTTTAGCCTACTTTGACTGTGAGGAAATAAACTTCATTCATTAAAACCATCCACTTGTGGTATTTCTGTTGTAGCAGCACTAGATGACCAAGACAGAATTTGGTCCCGAGAGTGGGGTGCTGCTCTAACAGATACCTAAAATGTGGAAGCGGTTTTAAAACTGTGAATGGATAGACGTGCGGCAGTGGCAGAGAACCAATAACAGCAGAACCAGGAGACCAGTGCGAGATGGCGCTGGAGCTGACCCACGGAGCCAGAGAGCTGAGTGCCTGTGTGCGGGAGGCTTCCTGGCAGAGTGGGGTGCCTCCGGGCACTTATACTGGTGGAGCTACAGAGCTTTGGAACACTTGGCCTAACAGGGCAGATGTGGGCATGAGCCCCAAGGGTTAAGAGGCCACAGGAAACAGAAGCAGAAGCTGAAGAGACAAGGGACACAGGAAGCCGAGCTGCTTCAGTCTCAAAAGGTATGGCCATGACCTCAGGGGTTTCAAAGGGTGGAGCCATGGCCCCTGGTGTTTCTAAGGGTGGAGTTGTCACTCCAGTGGACTAGGAGAATGGTGCGCCTAAAGCCAAGGGAGCAGAGTTGCTGTCCCAGTGGGCCTGGAAGGCGGAGCTGAAGCCCAGGGCCGAGGGGCCCCCACTCAAAATCCAGAGACTGTGGCCAATACGTAAGAGTCTGGAGGGCAGGGCCATTGTGTAAATTATCTCAGAGAACAGAGGACTATTTTCAAAGCCTTGAAGGCTAATGTAATGTGTTCTGTTGACTTGCTTGGTGCCTGTTATCACTTCTTTTCCTCTAGTTTCTCCCATTTGTAATGGAAATGTCTAGCTTGTGCCTGTTCTGCCATTGTACCTTTGGAAACAGATAACTTGTATTCTGGATTTCACAGATGAAGAGGAATTTTTGGATTTTGGACTTGGAGTTAAGACTTTGGCTATGATACGATGGGGTGAATATGTTTTCCATGTTGCAAGGATGTGATTTTTTGGGGTCCAAAGGATGGAATGTCATGGTTTGAATTATGTCCCCCAAAAAATGTGTGTGTCAGTTTGGCTAGGCCATGATTCCTGGTACTGTGTGATTTTTCTGTATGTTGTAAACCTGCCTCTATGATGTTAGTGAGGGAGGATGGGTGGCAGTTGTGTTACAAGGCAGGACCTGATTTACAAGACTGGATTGTGTCCTGAGGCAATCTCTTGAGATATAAAAGACAGAAGTGAGCAGTGAGACAGGGGGATCTCATACCATCAAGAAAGCAGTGCCGTGAGCAGAGCGCGTCCTTTGGACCGGGGTCCCTGTGCCGAGAACCTCCTAGTCCGGGGGAACACTGAAGAGAAGAAGGCCGACAGAGAGAAAAAGCCTTCCCCCGGAGCTGACGCCCTGAATTTGGACTTTTAGCCTACTTTGACTGTGAGGAAATAAACTTCTCTTCGTTAAAACCATCTACTTGTGGTATTTCTGTTGTAGCAGCACTAGATGACTAAGACAGAATTTGGTACCGAGAGTGGGGTGTTGCTCTAACCGATACCTAAAATGTGGAAGCGGTTTTAAAACTGTGAATGGGTAGACGTGCAGCAGTGACGGAGGACCAGCAGCAGCAGAGAAGCGGCAGCAGCAGAGAACCAACAGCAGAACCAGGAGACCTGTGAAAGACGGCGCTGGAGCCGACCCACGGAGTGAGAGAGCTGAGTGCCTGTGTGCCGGAGGCTTCCTGGCGGAGTGGGGTGCCTCCGGGCACTTATGGTGGAGCTACTGAGCTTTGGAACACTTGGCCCAGCAGGGCAGATGCGGGCATGAGGCCCAAGGGCCTAGAGGCTATAGGAAGCAGTAGCTGAAGAGACAAGGGACACAAGAAGCCGAGCTGCTTCAGTCTCAAAAGGTATGGCCATGACCTCAGGGGTTTCAAAGGGTCGAGCCATGGCCTCTGGTGTTTCTAAGAGTGGAGTTGTCACTTGGATGGACTAGGAGAATGGTGCTCCTAAAGCCAAGGGAGCAGAGTTGCTGTCCCAGTGGGCCTGGAAGGTGGAGCTGAAGCCCAGGGCCGAGGGGCCCCCACTCAAAATCGAGAGACTGTGGCCAATACGTAGAGTCTGGAGGGCAGGGCTATTGTGTAAATTGTCTCAGAGAACAGAGGATTATTCTCAAAGCCTTGAGGGCTAATGTAATGTGTTCCGCTGACTTGCTTGGTGCCTGTTACCACTTCTTTTCCTCTAGTTTCTCCCATTTGTAATGGAAATGTCTAGCTTGTGCCTGTTCTGCCATTGTAGCTTTGGAAGCAGATAAATTGTATTCTAGATTTCACAGATGAAGAGGAATTTTTGGATTTTGGACTTGGAGTTAAGACTTTTGCTATGATATGATCAGAATTGCGAGGTTGTCTTCCATTTTGTGATTGTAATTTTCTGTCAAAGAGAATTAGAGTGGAATTGTAACACCACCCTTACTCAGGTTACATCCCTCATCCAATGTAAAGAGAGTTTCCGTGGGGTGTGGCCTGCACCTCCTTTTATCTCTTGTAAGAGATGTAAGGGAAGCAAGCAGAGAGTTGGGGACCTCATACCATCAAGAAAGCAGTGCCGTGAGCAGAGTGCGTCCTTTGGACCAGGGTCCCAGTGCTGAGAAGCTCCTAGTCCAGGGGAACACTGAAGAGAAGAAGGCCGACAGAGAGAAAAAGCCTTCCCCCAGAGCTGACACCCTGAATTTGGACTTTTAGCCTACTTTGACTGTGAGGAAATAAACTTCTCTTCATTAAAACCATCCACTTGTGGTATTTCTGTTGTAGCAGCACTAGATGACTAAGACACCCTCCCTGGGTTTGGAGGGGGCTTGGGGTTTGGGATCCAGATGGGCGAGTCAGGGTCCCCATGAGGAAGGTCCTCCCGGTGACCTTGCCTCCCTCTCTGGACAGATGGAGGCTGGACGGTGATCCAGAGGCGCCAGGATGGCTCCGTGGACTTTGATCAGCCCTGGGAAGCCTATAAGGCGGGCTTTGGGGACCCCCAAGGTGAGTATTTCCTGGGGGGCTGAGGGAGACAGGGAGGAGGCAGAGGTGGCTGTGGAGGTGGGCCCCCCTGATCAAGCGCCTCTCCCCACTGCAGGTGAGTTCTGGCTGGGCCTGGAGAAGGTGCACCGCATCACAGGGGGCCGCAGCGGGCGCCTGGCTGTGCAGCTGCAGGACTGGGAGGGCAATGCCGAGTCTCTGCAGTTCCCCATCCACCTGGGGGGCGAGGACACGGCCTACAGCCTGCAGCTCACAGCGCCCGTGGCCAGCAAATTGGGCGCCACCGCTGTCGCGCCCAGCGGCCTCTCCCTGCCCTTCTCCACTTGGGACCAGGACCATGACCTCCGACGGGACGAGAACTGTGCCAAGACCCTCTCTGGTGAGCAAGCCCCATCCCAGTCCCTCCTGCCGCATCCTATCCCACCCAGCCCCTACCCTGCCCTTACCCTGCCCCACACAGCCTGACCACCCTCCCTGCCTCTGTTTCCTTTCCCTGCCTTCAACCCAGTTCCATCTGTTCCCTGTCCCCCTCTTCTCTTTATTTGCTGAGTGCTTTGGGTCACTGATTGAATCTCTCCCAGCCTCAGTTTTCCCATCTTTAAAATGGGTATAAGCATGGTGCTCACCTCTTAGGATTACTGTGTAAGCTCAGTGAGATGATGTATGTGGGATGGTGGCCGGTACATGGTAAAGCCACCAAAAGCAACCCTGGCTTGTTCAAATGATACTGAGGCAGAGTGCTGGCTCTCGGAAGTGCAACATATGAAACGGCCTTTTTGGTGGGTCCAAAAATGGTGGAATTCTTGGTAATTGCATATGGTTTAATCAAATACAGTTTGATGGAACTGATGACAGTACTGTAATGGAAATTGTTTAAGAAATGTTAGCCATGTGCCAGGTGCAGAGAAGTGACTTGCGAAGGTCACAGATGTGAAAGCAGACTTGTTTTGGTAGAGGAGGGGGCACCTGGGCCCCCTCTGTCACTACCTTGGGTTCCTCAGAACACAGATTCGCAACCTCTGCCAAAGCCCCACCTACAATGTGTAAAGTCCAAAGGCCACCCCATCCCCAGTCTCAACCCCAACTCCATCCCAACCCTATCCCCAACTGAAACCCCAAGCCCATCCCCAAGCTCTCAACCCCAACCCCACCTCCACTTCCAGTCTCAACTCTATCCCCAGTCCCATCCTCAACTGCAACCCTAACTCCATCCCCATCCCTGACCCCAACCCCACCTCTACCAGCTCCAACAGAGGCTCAAAGACGCTGACCTAACTGTTCCTTCTGCCTGACCCCACAGGTGGCTGGTGGTTCGGCACCTGCGGCCACTCCAACCTCAACGGCCAGTATTTCCGCTCTATCCCACGGCAGCGGCAGCGGCGAAAGAAGGGCATCTTTTGGAAGGCCTGGCGGGGCCGCTACTACCCACTGCAGGCCACCATCATGCTGATCCAGCCCACAGCAGCTGCCTCGGCCTTGTAGTCTGCTTGCTGGGGCCTGGTCCCAGGCTCATAGAGGACAGTGACTCTGTCTTCGGCCCAGGATGTGGCCACTTCTTGCCTGGGCAGGGGCTCCAGGCAGGGGCCGTGTGGAGCCTGGTGGACAGAGAAGAAGCCCGTGACTGGAGAAGGCCCCTTTCTGAGTAGGGGCTGCACGTGTCGGCCAGCTTTTGAGACCAGCAGGGCTCCAGGGTACGCGTAGAACCTGGATGCATGGGGTCGAGGGGCATTCTGTCCTGCTTCTTGCCTGCCTGAGGAGTGGGGGGATGTAGAGGGACCACTTGGGGGCGGCCAGGCCAGCCCTCGATGGCAGACTCAGTCACATTGACTGTTCAGGGCCCCGGGCCCCAGTGGGCCTGGGTGCCCTCACGGTGCTATTGTGCATGGGTGCTGTGGGATGAGCTGGTACCAGTGGCATCTGGATGCAGCTCACAGAATTCTTGGAATAAAAGCAACCTCAGAATATTTTGTTTTTCTTCGTCCTTTGGTTTGTTTTAAAACATGGACAGTTTCAAAGTCCACATAAACACATTCCCAGGGCAGAGGGTGAACACTCCCAGGTCCTTTTAGGACAAGGCAGGTGATTCTCCCCCCTACCAACAACCAATTTCAATTTCCTCCATATATTAGTTCGTAATGTGTAGCTCTGGTTTTTTATTTTCAAAATTACGGAGGAAAAAAAGCCCTCATACAATTCAATCGTGATGTAAACAGGTACTAGAACCAAACCAAAACCCATTGCTGTGGAGTTGATTCCAACTCATAGCGACCCTATAGGACAGAGTAGAACTGTCCAGTAGGGTTTCCAAGAAGCAGCTGGTGGATTTGAACCGCTGACCTTTGGGTTAGCAGCCGAGCTCTCAACCACTGTGCCACTAGGGCTTCAAACAGGTACTAGAGAAAGTGAGAATTCCTCTCCTATTTCTGCAAATGAATACCTGTTAACTTTTAAGTGCTGGGCTGTCCGATAGAAATATAATGTAAGTCGTACGTATAATTTTACTACGCTCCTTGGAAGCGAGGATGGTGAGACTCGCTTCCTTTGGACAAGTCATCAGGGAAGATCAATCACTAGAAAAGGACATCATGTTTGGTAAAGTGGAAGGCCAGTGAAAATGAGGGAAACCCTTAATATGATGGATTGACACAAGAGCCACAACAATGGACTCAAACATACCAACAACCATGAAGATGGTACTGGATAGGGCAACATTTCGTTCTGTTACACCTAACGTTGCCATGAGTTAGAGCTGACCTGATGGCCACTAACAACAAAATAGCCACGTTAAAAAAAAAGGTGAAATGAATGGAACATCAGAAATATATTTTATTTGCCCCCAATATATCACTACGTTAGTTTCCTAGGGATGTTGAAACAAAGTACCATAAACTGGGTGGCTTATAAGAACAGAAATGTAGTGTCTCACAGTTCTTGAGATCGGAAGTCCAAATCAGGGTGTCAGCCATGTTGATTCTTTCTGAGGGCTCTGAGGGAGAATGTTCCATGCCCCTCTCCTAGGTTCTGGTGACAACTGGTGATCCTTGGTGTTCTTTGCCTTGTAGATGCATCTCCACAGGGCTGTCCTCTCTCCATGTCTCTCTTGTCTCTTTTTTATAAGGACACCAGTCATACTGGATTAGGATCCACCCTACTCCAGTGTGACCTCATTAGATCTGCAAAGACCCTATTTCCAAATAAGGTCACATTCACAGGTATCGAGGTTAAGACTTCAACATACATTTTTGGGAGGTACAATGCAATCCATAAAAATTCCATTTCAATATGCGATCAATAAAAAATTATTAATGAGAGATTTTACATTCTGATTTTTGTGCTAAGTCTTTGGGATCTGTTGTTAGATGATGTCAAGTCAGTTCCAATCCATAGCGACCCTACGTACAACAGAACGAAACGCTGCCCAGTCCTGCACCATCCTCACTATGTTAGAGCCCATTGTTGCAGCCAATGTGTCAATCCATCTCGTTGAGGGTCTTTTTCGCTGACCCTCTACTTTAGCAAGCACGATGTCCTTCTCCAAGGACTAGTCCCTCCTGATAACATGTCAAAGTATATGAGACGAAGTGTGTAGTTTATGCTTACAGCACATCTCAGTTTGGATCAGCCACATTTCAAGTACTCACAGTCACAAGTGGCCAGTGGCCACCTGTGGTGCAATGGCTTTCTCTTACATAGGGCCTTTTTGTCCTTGGGTTTATAATTCTGCCAAGCTGATTAGCTAGGCCACAATCTTGCAAAGAGATTGGCTAGCATGCTACACAAATATGGTGTGTAAAACCACCCAATAGCATTAAGTGACCTTGTGGGAATTGGTTGGGACTATGCAAATTGAGTGACTTTGGTCTACTGAGGGGATTGGCCAGTTCCTGGTTCTGGTGGGAGGACCATGCCTTGACACTGACAAGGAGTAGGCTTACATAAGGACCAATCACACAGAGGTTGAGGGGGACCTCACTACCATCAAGAAGAGCCTGGAGTGGAGTATGTCCTTTGGACCCAGGGTCCTTGTGCTAAGAAGGTGAGAACAGCGGCAGCCAACGCAGAGCCCAGTGGCAGAGAAACGGAGGCATCAGCATGAGCAATGAGAACCACAGGACGGGCAGATGGATGTGGTGGGCTTGCGCGCCTACTGAGTAAGAGAGAGCTGAGCGCCTTTGGGCAGGAGGCTTGCCGGAGAAGCAGGATGCCTCCGGGCAAAGAGCTGTAACACTTGTCCAAGCAGGGCAGAGGCCTAGAGAAGGGCCACAGGCTGGCGCAGCTGAGGGAAGGGTCTGCCTGCAGGCACAGCCAAGAAGGAGCTGAGAGCTGTCCTGGCTGACAAAATGCATCTTGTCTCTTGAGTTGTATCCTGTTACTTCCAAGTTAATCCTGATTCCCAGTTGTAGCCTGTTCCAAAAAACCAAGCCTGTTGCCGTAGAGTCTATTCCGAATCATAGTGACCCCTATAGGACAGAGTAGAATTGACCCGTAGGGATTCCAAGGCTGTTATGTTTACGGAAGCAGATTGCCACATCCTTCTCTCGCAGAGCAGCTGGTAAATTCGAACCGCCCACCTTCCGGTTAGCAGCCAAGCGCTTAACTGCTGCACCACCAGGGCTCACTGTAGCCTGTTACTTCCCTAATAAACCTCATAACTGTGAGTATGATCTGTGAGTTCTGTATGGCCATTGCAATGAATTATCAAACCCAGCAGAGAAGTAGAGAGTGCCTTGAGGAGGACGGCTGGTGTTAGAATTAGTAAAAAGGTTGGAGAGTGGAGGTATATCTGACCTGCACCTCATGGGAATCAGCTTAGTGCTGATGGTGATTCTCATCCCTCCTCCTGCAAAGCTCTAGAGTACACAGTAATGCAGTATTTCGAGTAAACTCTTCATAGTTTTTACCAAATCTGCATATTGCCTATGCTGGAGTTTACTTCAAGTTTTCCTTTGTTAAAATTCTGATAAAGTTAATTTTATAGAGTTTATTCTGGTTTCAGAAAAGGTTCATGAACCAGCAACAGTTTCAACGGGACTTGCTTTGCCAGACAAAGAAAAACTGGGAGTTTTTAAAAGAGATAAAAGGCAGAGAGAGAGAGAAAGAAAACAAAACAAAGCATTTTTCACACATTTTGACATACCACCAGGTTATATAGGGGCCCTGGTGGCGCAGTGGTTAAGAGCTATGGCTGCTAACCAAAAGGTCGGCAGTTCGAATCCACCAACTGCTCCTCAGAAGCCCTATGAGGCAGTTCGACTCTGTCCTTTGCTATGAGTCTGAATCGACTTGACGGCAATGGATTTGGTTTTTTCTTTTGGTCAGGTCATATAAGAGCAGAACTACGAAATGTCCATACTTATTTACTCAAAAAGGGTTTGTTTAATGTCTGAGCTAAAACTTCTGAGCAAGCAGGCAAAACAAAGTAAGTGCAGCAGGAATGTTCGTGCCCACCGATGATGTCAAAGGAGAGAAATTTCAAACAGAATCCCTCCGACCCCCTCACCCAGGAGGAAGCATCCAAGCCTCTTTAACTCTTTCAAAGAGGCTTTTTAACTCCAGTAAGTCTAGAAAATAAAATACAAATTTAACATGGAAAAACATACATTCCTCATGGATAGGAAGAATCAATATTGTGAAAATGTCAATTCTACCCAAAGCGATCTACAGATACAATGCAATCCCAATCCAAATTCCAACAGCATTTTTTAATGAGGTGGAGAAACAAATCACCAATTTCATATGGAAAGGGAAGAGGCCCCAGATAAGTAAAGCATTACTCAAGAAGAAGAACAAAGTGGGAGGCCTCACACTACCTGATTTTAGAACCTATTATACCGCCATGGTGGTCAAAACAGCCTGGTACTGGTACAACAACAGATACACAGACCAATGGAATAGAATTGAGAATCCAGACATAAATTCATCCACCTATGAGCAACTGATATTTGACAAAGGCCCAAAGTCCGTTAAATGGGGAAAAGACAGTCTCCTTAACAAACGGTGCTAGCATAACTGGATATCCATCCGCAAAAAACTGAAACAAGACCCATACCTCACACCATGCACAAAAACTAACTCAAAATGGATAAAAGACCTAAAAATACAGAATCAAAAACGATAAAGATCATGGAAGAAAAAAATAGAGACAATGCTAGGAGCCCTAATACATGGCATAAACAGAATACAAACCATAAGTAACAATGCACAAGCACCAGAAGAGAGACTAGATAACTGGGAGCTCCTAAAAATCACTTATGATCATAAAAAGATTTCACCAAAAGAGCCAAAAGACAACCTACGGACTGGGAAAAAATTTTTGGCTATGACAAGTCCAATCAGCATCTAATCTACAAAATCTACAAGATACTGCAAAACCTCAACAACAAAAAGACAAATAACCCAATTAAAAAATGGGCAAAGGACATGAACAGGCACATCGCCACAGAAGACGTTCAGGCTAACAGACGCATGAGGAAATGCTCACGATCACTAGCCATTAGAGAAATGCAAATCAAAACTACAATGAGATACCATCTCACCCCAACAAGACCAGCATCAATCCAAAAAACACAAAACAAGAAATGCTGGAGAGGTTGTGGAGAGACTGGGACACTTACACACTGTTTGTGGGAATGTAAAATGGTAAAACCACTTTGGATATTGATTTGGCACTTCCTTAAAAAGCTAGAAATAGAAGTACTATATGATTCAGCAATCTCACTCCTTGGAATATATCCTAGAGAAATAAGAGCCGTCACACAAATAGATATATGCACACCTATGTTCATTGCAGCACTGTTCACGATAGCAAAAAGTTGGAAACAACCTAGGTGCCCATCAGCAGACGAATAGATAAGCAAATTATGGTATATTCACACAATGGAACACTATGCAACAATGAAGAACAATGATGAAGCCGTGAAACATAACATGGAGGAAGCTGGACGGCATTCTGCTGAATGAATTTAGTCACAGAAGGACAAATATTGTATAGGACCACTATTATAAGAAATCAAGAAAAGGTTTAAACGTTGAAGAAAACATTCTCTGATGGTTATGAGGATGGGGAGGGAG